CTATAATCCAGAAAATTCAGAGTAGAAATGTTCAAAAGCAAAACCTACTCACCAGTATTGTCGGTCCGTGCTCTGCTCTGTGATTTGTACAGAATTTAACAAATTGAACACACCCGTGAAACGTAAACTGTTTTTGTAAAGAGGGCACGAGCTCTGTTATTGTTAATGTTTACGATTCACCGGGTGTGTTCAATTGTAAAACTCTGCACACACCACTGTGCAATGACTTACAATACTGTGAGTTGGTTTTTCTTTTGAACATTTCTACTCTGAATTTTCTGGATTATAGTTTTAATATTTTTCATTAATACACAACAAAATTGCCACTTTACATAATTATTAAGAATAAAATTAAAATATGTGAAATCGCAAGGATGTGTCAATCCAGCGCGTCCAGAAATTCGAAGTTTTAAGAACTTCTAGATGAATTAAGATTTTTGTTATATTTTTGTATGAAATGCTATAACAACATATAAGTCATGAAATTATACAGAAAATCTGAGAAAATATTAACTTCATATCTGTGTCCAAGCTCCTTTAAAGGTTATTTCTTATCTTTAATTATGAAAGAAAAAAAGAGGCAAACACGGACCTCTAAAACATTAGAGGTGAGATCAGGTGCCATAGAAGAGTAAGCAGCCCCAGCCGACCAGTCACACCCGCCGTGTGCTCCTGGTCATGATTGGAAATAACGGGAAAATCCGTCGACAATTCTATGTGTAAATAATGGCCCAACAATCAGTATGAAAAACATCAGTTAGTACTTGACTTATTGATAGATTTTATTTCTTTATAAGGTCATTGTATCGACCATAGAACTTACGAAGACTGTTGATATTCTTGTTTCATCAACTTATTGTCGATAACTTACCTCGTTTTAGAAATTGTTCATACATAGAGCATTCTCTTGCGTATCGATTCAACTGAGAGATATAAACCCCGATGCAGGTGATAGGCGTATATTGCTGCACAAGTTGAATACTATCATGAACAATAAAAGCCGTCGCCGCGTGGCGCAGTGAGACGGATGAAGGAGTTGATACATACGTGGTGGGCTCGAATCCGACTGCGGGATGTGGGCACCAGTCCTTGGTATAAGACCGTATAAACCGAGGTCCTGTGTCGAAGTAGGTGCGAAACATTGTGCTCTGTCGATAGTATCGAAGTTGAGCAAAATCAACAAAATCCTTGTTGCAAACACTATTCCGTATTTCAATCTTTTTTGATTAACATATCAGTTTATTTACCTATACTTGGCAATACTTTTTTAGACAAAGCACAAAGGCTTGCGTATGGAATATTTGCTAATTGTTTGAGCACTTATTTTTCCTTGCAGTTGATATCGAATCAAGATTATTAAACAGTCACTATGCTATCTACTATACCTCTTTAAACCTTTGTATGTGTCAAGATATTTTGCAGTGTCTGGGTTGTCCTTGCCGTCGATATCATCTATATAGACAATATCGTATCGATAACGAATCATGGTTGTAAGGCAGCTATGTTAAGATATTTTGCATGGACCAATTATGTTTCCCCTGTTGTCGACACCGATGATATCGAAAGTGTGTTTCTGTGTATCATGGGCTTGTTAAAATATACTAATTTTAAGCTTGTTCTACTGTCGATATTGTCATGATAGAGGACATTGATGTTTGCATTTTATACTCTGTAAATAATTGTAGGGGTGTTTAAATATTTCCAATTTACTGTAGACAATATCGTATCAATCGTATCAGAGCAATTGCCTTTTGTCGCACTTGATTCATTTTCTTTATACGCTTTATAGTTGATTTCTTCCCTTTTCTTAGTTGATCATACCGTCGATTTCAACAGTATCATTCCGTTGATATCTACATTGCCTTCGATTTTCTATCGCAAATTGGTATGTATTCGATAAAAAATCTCATTTCGGCAGAATTAAAAGTCGTAGCTATTTTCTCGCATCGTTTTCTCTTTTTTTTGAGCAGAGAATGTTTAGTGTTTTCCATTTGGGACTTGTACTCATCGAATTTTACGCCAAACCCATTCAACTTTTCCGTGAAATACGAATATAGCGTAAAGTTCAGAGGTCAGTGTTAGCTTTGCTCACAATGTGTATTGCTTAGATGAACTTTGGAAGCATGATAATGGATAAAAAAAAAGAAAAAAAGAAAAAACGAAATCATGAACAGTTAAGGCAAAGTTTGTTGCATTTTATACTGTACTTCATTTACTTCAATCAAATATATGGAGATAACAAACAGTATTCAAGCTGAAAATCCATTCAAACAATACAAATCTGCAGCAGAGCAAACGCGGAGCGTTTAAACATCAGAGGTGAGTTAAGGTGCCATCGAGGAGTGAGCATCCCCTGCTGACCGGTCACACCCGCCGTATGCTCCTTGTCATGATTGGGAAATAATAAAAAAAATCCGTCAACATTTCAGTGTTTTAATAATGGCCTAAAAATTAGTATGAAAAACTTCAGTCAGAATTTTACTTAATGATAGATTGCATTTGCTGACAGGTATTTGTATCGCCCATAGAACTTATGAAATGATGACTATAAACGAGGCTGTTGATATACTTATGTCATCAATGTTTGTCAATAACTTACCTCGTTTCAGAAATTGTTCATACGTAGATCATGCTCTTATAAAACTGAGTTCAATAGAAATATTGTCTTTTTAATGTCTTACATTGTTTCAATTATCATTTTACTATATGTTCAGTTATCTCCATGTGGCAGAATTTTAAAATAAGAAAAGAAATTTCCTAGGCGAACTTTAAAATAATGCTTGTTTGCCCTCTTCCGACTCAGGATGAAAAAACAGGTCAGTAGATACTCGTAGGTGAAATTTTTTTTTCTCAAAAAAAAAAAAAAAAAAAAAAAAAAAAAAAAAAAAAAAATCAATTTCAATGCCATTTTTTTTTCAATCCATTGTCCAGAATACTTAAAAAAATAATTGCTTCCCGGAGGTGAAAACAGTTTTGCAGTTGGGCCATTTTTCGCCAGTCGTTCGGGAGAGGGCAAACAAACATTATAAAGATGGCCTTATCCTCATTTTTTTTTAAATGCATAAATACACAATAATAATGGTAGGAAATTTCAACATTTTGTCCAGGAGGGCCCACAGAAAGATAACCATTCATGAGGATGTCCATTTTATTCATAATCCTTTATTAAAACTAGGAATTTATAAAACACAAATATTTATTAAAATGAAAATGTCTATTTATGAACATTGCTTATCATTGACTCGTAATAAATATATTTTATTGAATTATCCATCCACTTCTTTTCTTTATTAATCTGCATCTGTAGAGAAAAACAAAAACAATATAAAAAAAGGTAAACAACAACAAAAACAAAAACAATATAAATGAAAGATAAACAACAGCAAAAACAAAAACAATATAAAAGAAAGATAAACAACAACAAAAACAAAAACAATATAAAAGAAAGATAAACAACAACAAAAACAATATAAAAGAAAGATAAACAACAGCAAAAACAAAAACAATATAAAAGAAAGATAAACAACAACAAAAACAATATAAAAGAAAGATAAACAACAAAAACTTTACTTTTGACTCCTCATGCCTGCGATTTCAGATTATAAAACAAATAAAGTATAAAATTATCAAAAACGTAGAAATCTATAATAAGACATATGTTTACCTAGTGACGCCTGATCATCATCATTGTCTTCCTCACAGATGTCCCACCCTTTACTGTAGGATACCAAGAATCGGACCAGTATGCCGGGTACCAGGGACCGTTGAGGAAGGCCCGGTGACAGACCTTAAACCAACAACCTCCTCTAAAGTCAGCAGCACAGTTACCATAACTATTCCTGTCGTTATCTCTGTCTGCTGTACTGAAGTACATCCCAGACTAATCACCATAAGAACCCACCGTATTTAACATACTGTCACCTGTAGAATTAAAAAAATGGATTCGAAACTTAATTCAGTTCAAGGCGTTTCATTGTCAAAATTAAACTGATTAAAATGAATTCAACCTACCCAGAGCAAGACTTCAAATAAGTGACATGAATTTTGAAATAATTCAAATGAACTTTTATACCTAAGAAAGGATGTCAAACAAATTACATAGACTCTGAAATGATTTAAATGAATGGTACACACCTTGCACAGGATTCAATTATGTTACATAAACTTTGAAATAGCTCTTTATCACGTTATGTAGGTTGTTATTATTTAAAGAGATGTATTCATATTCTTTGTTAAATATGTTTCTTTAACTTAATTTTACTCGATTCATAACAATATTCCCATATTTGAGTCAAATTGTCAACAAACATGGATATTTCAAAATGACCTACATAATATCAACGTATCCTTGCTATCTCTCGCTACATCTATTATTTTTTTTTCTATAACATATCCACATAATCTTTATCCATGCTCTGGTATAAGCTTAGTGTGCATAATGACACCAAATAGAGATCAAATAATGTAAAAGCAATGGTTTTATGTTAAGGAATGTGATATATACAAAATATATTGGCTGATAAGAAAGATTAAATTAAATCATTTACACAAAAACAATTGCTTTAGCATGAAATATGTCAAATTGTTCCGTTTTAGTGCAATAAAGGATTTTCTCGGACCATATTACCATTTCTTTTTTTGTAGCTTCACAGGAAAGGAGAAAGATGTGATCATTATTTATAAATAACGTACCATGAAAATACTTAGACCTTATTTAAAAAAAAAAAAATCAGTGTAATAAACTGGGAAGGGACAAAAAAAAATCTATTCAAAGCAAAGAAACAGGGGTTGAATACATTTTGCGGATGAAAGACATGACAATAGATTAAAGTTGCCATTACCCTTTTTATTCGCATGTCTCATTTCTTTCTAATTTTCTCCCTCTCCTTATTTCCCCTTTTTCTATCCTACTCTCACACTCTATCTCTCTCACTTTCCTTGTATTGATAGTCATACATTTTACCCATTACTTACCCAAGGTTCCGGTAGCTGGTCCTCCAAGAAAAAGTCTGTAGTTGTCCGTTTCATCGGACACAGAAAACTGACGATAAAGTTCGTATAAAGTTGTGCCATTTGGCAATCTGATAGAGACGTAGAGGGAGGAGTTTCTTCCATTGGCAAGCTGAAGTATGACGTCATTTCCTTCAATACGTTATTATAAAAGTTTACTAGGTATTGAAAAAGTATATATACGTTGAAATCGTAAATAAAGTAAATAAATTCATTCCAAATTAACAAGATATTAATTGCAAAAAGTGTATTTACAGAAAAAATCATATTCCTTAAAATAAACGCAGATGCAAATAAGCAGACATTGCTTAAGATATATAGATATGTAAATAAGCATTTACCAATCCAATATGAGTCATGAGGGTTGCCAAACCCATTTTTGTACTCCGCCCACGTTTTGTTAAACCTCACGGATCCGCTCACTCGCTTCTGAATTGCCTACAAGTTATCAACAAATAAATATCTTGATCTTTGTTTATCTTATTTGTTTTATTTATCTCAAAAAATTGAGAGAGGAGAGAGAGAAAGAGAGATCTTACTGTCCAACCCCCGCCTTCAGTTTCCAATGCATTGTGTTTTCAATGTATCTAGCGTCTGCCCTAAAGCAGTATCCTTATTTAGAGTATCAACCTGTCTTTCCAAATTTTCTATCCTCCGTGCTAAAATCTCTTTCTGTCTACTAAGAGTATCAACTTGTCTTTGTAATGTTTCTACTTTCTGCGCTAAGGTCTTATCCTGTGTAAGAGCATCAACCTGACTTTTCAATGTATTTAATGCCTGCCGTAGAGAGGAGACAATCGTTTCTGTAGACACCGTGCTTCGCTTCACAGAACTAACGTCGTCCACTACTGCCTTTACATCCTTGACCACGACTAAACGGATGAGAGTTTATTGGTTGATGATCTGCCGAAAACGTCGATTTCCTTCATGTCACGCCTTTCTTGTTACACAGTAACGTCTTTGGGTAGCTGATAAGGTTTTACTTGCATAGCTTATGAGTACTTCTTCCCCATTCTGTACTTGTGACAATTCTGCACCTAATGAATGATCAGATGCATCCGTGTCAAGTATAAATAAACCATCTGACTGTGGGAATGCTAATATTGCTGGCTCGGACATTGCTTTTCTTAGGGAATGAAAACTATTGTCTTGTGCTTCATCCCAAACAAATGCACTTTTTGATTTTGTAAGATCATACAGTGGGGAGGCCAGGGCTGCATAATTCTTAATGTGTTCTCTGTGATAATTCATGTATCCCAAGAAAGTCTCTACATCTTTTCTGTTTCTCGGTATGGGCCACTGGGCTACACACTGTATACTCTCCGGAGTCACGGATACACCTTTCTCACTTACATCTCTGCCCAAAAACTGTATCTCTTTTCTGAACATGCAGCATTTCCTAGGTTTTATTTTCAAGTTATGTTTTCTAAACCTGGTTAGGACAGCTCTAAGGTTGAGAAGGTGGTTGTCAAATGAATTTCCAAGGACAATGACATCATGTAGATATGCCAAGCATTCCTTCCAATTTAGTCCATGTAAGACAAGCTGGATCATTCGTTGGAATGTGGCTGGGCTGTTACAAGTGCCAAATGGCATTCTAACAAACTCAAACAATCCATATTTTGTTATGAAGGCCAGTTTATGACGGTCATGTGGGTCCACCTCTATTTGGTAGTAGCCTTGAGCCATATCTAATGTGCTTAAAAAGATATTTCCACTTAAGGTGTCCATGCAATCTTCAATATTTGGGAGGGGAAATGCATCTTTTTTGGTAAGACTATTCACTTTTCGAAAGTCAATACAGTACCGCACAGTGCCATCTTTTTTGCGAACGAGTACTGGTGCAGAGGCCCATTCCGACTTTGACGGGACAATGACGCCATTATCTAATAGATTTTTCAAGTGGGCTTCTTCCTCCTTCTCAAAGCCTAGCGGAGTACGTATTAGTTTTGCACGGACTGGTTGTGCATCCCCTGTGTTTACTTTATGTGTGATTCCTTTGAAAAGGCCTATGTCCATGTCATCTGCTGCAAATACATCCTGAAATTCAATGAGTAAGTCGTGTACCTTATCGGCTTGGTTCTTGGGAAGATTTTCAACTGATCTCCTTTCCAAGTCTAACAGATAGCTAGGTACAGTGCAGGGAACTAATTTTGTTACAGCACCAATGCTGATTTTAATGCTTCCTTTGCTTGCTGATTTGAATGCTTCCTTTGCTTGCTGATTTAATGCTAGTTATCCTTATCCTGATCCTGATCTGATCCTTATCCTGATGCTACTTTTGCTGGTTCAAAACTAGGTCAATGCTAGTAATGCTACCGGAAGTAGGATTATCCTGGCGGAAGTGGATAATTTAATTTCAGCATTGCTATTTTAAGCCATAAAAAATATTTTTTTTGTAATTTTTATTTGTATATTGTATTAAATAACTTTCTTTTATCTGTTTACATTTTTTACCGAAAGAAATTTAGCGATTTTTAACGAATTTCGCTTTGTCAAATTCCAATCGTAAAATTGAAAACAAAAATGGCGACACAGTGAAAGTTGGAAGTAAATCTTGCGAAGTTATCGTAACAGAGTTGTTTGACAAAACTAGTTGCCCACTGCAATCCAGATAATTCTTATGAGGTATTGCTTGCACCCAACGATGCGATGATTTTCCCATTTCTGAAGCGATTTCGGAAGAAGAGCCCATATGTGTTCAACGTGTGAGCAAGGAAACGTGATGGACAATGAACATGATGAAGTTTATGACAAACCCAGACGAAAATTTATCATGTTTCGTGTGAATATTTCAGCAAAAATATTATGCTTTAAGTTGTAAAAGCCGTTTCCCAAGGAACCATCAGATCATCAGTACACTACCATGACTCAGAGGGTATGTAAACTATGTAAACAATGTTTTTTTTTAATTATCAAATTATATAAGGATGTTGTGAAACAGATTTACAAATAAATAAACACTCAAAATTCTCAGCGATTCAGGCATTTAAACCCATGTGATTTTAAAGGTCAATTTTTACAATTGAGAAAGAATTATATGTATGATTTTTTAGAGATTCAGATGCAGTCTTCTGTAGTTAATTCACATGGTATCAAGTCAATACATAACCTGACCGACTGATAACCAAGTCCACTCAAACCTAGTATGTCAACTCGTGACCAAATCTATAGACTGGTATTGCCTGTCTCTTTCGTACGTTCATGTATATTGCGCATATCAGACAGGCAAGGCCAGTCTACCAAATCTAGAAGTCAACTGTTAAACAAAAGTATGGTTACGGAATTCAATTTACCCTTGCGATCTTAGTTTTGAGGGGAGAAGTTAGGTTGTACCTTATCATGTAACTGACCTGTGTCTGGTTTACGAGTAGATTTTACGTAATGTTTTAAACAGATACATTATAACAACATTTTTCAAAAGGCAGAAAAGTAACTTACAATTAAGTACCTGAATAAAATGCTACAAGAAAAAATAAGGAAAAAAGAAAGTTGTCCCAAGTCAAATAAAACTATTTTGGGATGGGAAGGGTTCTAAGGCTGGGATGATACAATTTTTTTTATATTGATACATACATTGATATGTATCAATCATGATATTTGAGCTACAATACGATATGTATCAAATATTTTGAATTGGTCATGAAGTCTTATTTTTGTATTGAAAAGAACAAAACATTTCATCCCAATTATGAATGATTTATTTAAAGACATAAGCTGTATATCCGTTGTAAAACAAACTTACTTCACGCAAGTGGTGTAAATTTTTACCGGTATGTATTTTAAATAAATATTTCTATTTAAGGACATACGCAATGTACCTTACCTACTGATAATTTTTCAAGATATTCTTAATTTAAGATTATAGTGCCATCAGAAGTTTGTAGACAAAAAATCAGCATGCATTTCCAGGGGTTTTGAAAGATATCAATTGATGAAAATTCCTGTATAATTCATAGAGAAATATACAAAAATTACTAAACATATATTCTAGATGTTTTGTTTATCAAAACTTGTTTTAGAAGAAGTGTACAATAGCATATATAGACATTGAATTGTAGCACACAGTTCCTTTAAGTATTGGAACTCTTCAACTCCAGGGAAAAGTATAAAAACGTTCAAACTACGTTGCGTATGTCCTTCACATGTTTATCGTACATATATTAAACCCAAAATGTAAGTAAACAAAGAAAAACACCTGAATTTTTTTGCAATATTTAAATATTTTTACATAGCTACATATTGATATATGTACCATCCTCACACAGAATTAATATTATCGATTAATCTTTTCAGCCCTAATGGCTCCTTTTAAATTTTACTGGAGTTAAAGAAAAAAGAAATTAAATTAATGCTTGAAACTGTGATCATTAATTTGACATTAAAAAGCAAAATTATGTTCTACTTCACCGTTCTAAGTTACTAATTGTGCCCCTATTTCATTGACGCAAGTACTTTTCAAGTTTAAGTAGTGCCAATTTATTTTCTTTTACCTGAAAAAAAAATAATTGCTTTAAAACTTGTCGTAATACAATTTGCTCTTCAAGTCTGTATTCTGTATATTTGTACGTGCGATGTAGACGTAATTGTATAAAGTTAACAAAACTGTAGTTAGAACTGTATATACATTGTATTTTTAACATTTGGCATTTTTGATATTGGAATTTATAATCTTTTTACTTTTATTATTTAAGCAGTTTGAAAGTAAAAATAATTCAAGGATGAGTTTCTTAATCATATGAAATTTAAAAATCTCCAACCAAAACTTATATTCAGATTCTCTTTGGAAGATTGTTTGTTAATATCCTTGCAAGAAGAGAAATTAAACTAATCAACTTAATTTACATTGATAACATTTTTAAATTAAATCATGACCTAATATCTTATATTTTTCAGGCCAATGACAGTAAACACTGCAGTAAGTCCACCAGGGATTGATGGCAAAAAAAGAATATTTTGAAGAATGATTTAGATATGCTGGCCTCCTCTTTGGACCTAAATCCAGCTGATGAAATTCTATCTGAAAAAATAGTGAGAAGCCAAGAACTAATAATCAACTTCTGTAAATCAGACAGTGGTGTTAAAACCTGTGTGATGAAGTGTGCCAAATTCATTGATCACATACTTGTACATTTTTAAGTTATCTCCCATGTAGATCTAAAAAGTAATGTACAGAATTTAAAATGGACTTCAAGTGCTTTATGTATTGTACATGATTACATTGAGATGTATGAAAATTGAAATGCATGCCTGCTCTTTTGTACAGTCTTAAAACTGTTCATATGATTGTCCACATAATTGATTTTGTCAAATAAATGAACACATATACTCTACAGTAGTGTGATGTTTTAGGTACTAATAGAGAGATACATGTATATATAAAATTTTATGTCCAAGCTGTGTTTGTAGTACACATTTTTTCAAAAAAAAAAAAAAAA